TACATGAAAATCACCCAAGGAACTTTGAAAATGCTGTCTTCTAGACCAATTACAGCAGACTCTGGGAGTGGGGGGCAGCAGTGTTTTGTTTTGTTTTGTTTTGTTTTGTTTTGTTTTGTTTTTGAGATGGAGTTCTGCTCTTGTTGCCCAGGCTGGAGTGCAATGGCGTGATCTGAGCTTACTGCAACATCTGCCTCCCAGGTTCAAATGATTCTCTTGCCTTAGCCTCCCGAGTAGCTGAGATTATAGGTGCCTGCCACCATGCACAGCTAATTTTTTGTATTTTTAATAGAGATGGGGTTTCATTATGTTGGCCAGGCTGGTCTTGAACTCCTGACCTCAGATGATCCACCCACCTCAGCCTCCCAAAGTGCTGGGATTACAGGCATGAGCACTGTGCCCAGCCAGCAGTGTTTTTTTAAAGTTTCCCAAGTGATTCCAGTGTGCAATCATGATGGAGAACTGGGCTGGGTACGGTGGCTCTTGCCTATAATCCTAGTACTTTGGGAGGCTGAGGCAGGAGGATTGCTTGGGGCCAGGAGTTTGAGACCAACCTGGCCAACATAGTGAGACCCTGTCTCTGAGAAAAAAGAAAAAAAAAAAAAAAAAAGGAGGACTGCTGAGGTGAACATTGTTTTCTTATTGCTGCTGTTGTGTTTTTAAATTTTTTTTATAAAACAGAAATGGGGTCTCGGTATGTTGACCAGGCTAGTCTCAAACTCCGGGATTCAAGTGATTCTCCCATCTTGGCCTTCCTAAGTGCTCAGATTACAGGCCTGAGCCACTGCACCTGGTGGAATATTATTAATTGACTCCTTTTCACACTTCTCCCTCAAGTGGAGCAGTAAGATGACCATCAAGAGTCCTTGTCTTACCTTAACTCTACATTCATTACGCAGACTTGAGCTGGTGTTTTCTCTCCACAAAATGCAGAAGGTAATAAAGTTAATAAACTTTGTCCATTATTACAAGAGCTTGGGAAGATTAATATGAAAACAATTAACCACATTCCAAATCATGACCTTTCTTTAGAAACAATCTGGCAGACACAACTTCCTGTCAAGGAATTGTGGAATTGACTATAACTGCTTGTCAAAAGTCTTAATACACTTGCCCCATGTCCCCATGTAATATCCTTGAAGAGTTTTGACAGCAGTTTATATTGAATAGAATATATTCCATTTTTATCAGATAACAAGAATTGGATTATTCTCCAACTTACTCCTTTTATTTCCAGTAAATTCACCAAACATCAGATTTATAGGATTGATATCTCTCTCTCTCTTTCTTTCTTTTTTCCTCTCTCTTTCTACCTATGCCTCCATTAAAACATATTTTATATGTTAATTATATATTTGGAAAAACTAGGAAATAAAAATTTAAGCAAAGAACTTGTAGTTTAAAACAACATGCTTTAGTATGAATGGAAGAAGGAAAAAGAAGATAAGGAAGTCCATGATTTGGGGACGCTCTCTAAAAAGTTTTCCAATTCACTTCTTTTGAGGCTTTTGGGCCTGTGAGACCAGGATAATTTCATGGCCTGTCAGGGACACCTGAATAGGTATCTAAAGATTAGTTTGCTAGGCCTCTTAGTCATGCTTTTCCACTCTTTGGATGTGAGAATCTTGCCCTCCTGGAGGCGAAGGTAGCACTTTTCCTAATTCATAACCAATAAAAATTATAATAGAAGTATAAATGGTGGTGTCTGCCCTTGGGTTCGTTGTCCTGAGATGGTGGAGAGAATACAGGTGGCCACAGGAAAATGTCAGAGATAAATAAACGCTAAACCTTATAATATTGACCACAATTCATTCAGCCAGGCTCTGGGCTAGGAGCCAGAGGTACAAAGGTTAACAAGTGCACCCGCCCTTGAGGTGCTCAGAGTCTAGTGCGGAAAATGGCCATGTAAACTGATTGTTATTCAGTAGTCACCACAGAGGCTAAAAGACCTGAAGGTACCAGGTACAAAGGTACCAGGACTCAGAGAATGGAATAATGTTAGGTTTTATGAGGTAAAAACACTTCAGATTTTAAGTGCAGGGCTTCAGAGGAATTTTTTTTTTTTTTTTTTTTTGTAGCTTTGTTTTAAATTATTCAAAATTTGACCAGGATGAGATTAACCACAGGAAAACCTGCTGGATAGACTAAAGACTAGGTAGGTCATGGTGCTTTGAGCTTTTTGAACATTTGATAAAAGACTACTAAAAGTAAAGTAAAAACTTCTGAGTAGTAAAGTTCAAGAGCTTCTATAATATTCTAAAGGATTTTTTGTTTGTTTTCAAGACAAGTCCATTTTTCAACTTTTTTTATTTTTATTTTTTTGAGATAAGCAATCTTCCCACCTCAGCCTCCCAAAGTGCTGGGATTACAGGTGTGAGTCACCATGCCCAGCTGACATTTTTAAATTTTTAAATTTTTCACATGAGAAACATATAACACTATATATTAGGTGAAAACAAAAACAGATTAAGGTCTAAGTGGAACATAAAACAAATATTTGAAAAAAATTTAATAAAAATTGTCTGGGTGCTGTGGCTCACACCTGTAATCCCAGCACTTTGGGAGGCTGAGGCAAGCAGATCACCTGAGGTCAGGAGTTTGAGACCACCCTGGCCAACATGGTGAAACCCCGTCAAATTAGCCAAGGTTAAAGACCAGCCAAAAATTAGCCAGGTGTGGTGATGTATGCCTGAAGTCCCAGCTACTCCAGAGGCTGAGGCAGTAGAATTACTTGAACCTGGGAGGCGGAGGTTGCAGTGAGCTGAGAAAGCACCACTGCACTCCAGCCTGGGTGACAGAGTGAGACTCTGTCTCAAACATAAATACATAAATAAATAATTAAATAAATAAATTGATGGTGTCCTCAGATGCCTGACAATCCGTTTGACAATAGAGACCTTGTAGAAGCATGGAAAATGTGTAGAAGCAATGTAAAAACGAAAACAGACACATTATGATGACAACTGGTAAAAAACTAGAGGGACCCATGACTAGCTGCTGGTTGTGGTGGCAATAACCAGTGGTGCTTTTCTTTTTAATTGTATTTTTTTTTTTTTTCCAGAGACAGGACCTTGCTCTCTCCCCTAGACTGGAGTACAGTGGCACGATTACAGCTCACGGCAGCCTTGAACTCCTGGGCTCAAGCTATCCTCCTGCCTCAGCCTCCTGAGTAGCTGAGACAACAGGTGTGCACCACCACGCTCAGCTAATTTTTATTTTTTGTAGAGACAGGGTCTTGCTCTGTTGCCCAGGCTGGTCTCTAACTTCTGGCCTCAGGGGATCCTCTTACCTCAGCCTCCCAAAGTGCTTGGTCAAGAGCCACTGCACCCAGCTTAGTGTTTTGTAGATTTTAGTTTACAAGTTTTCCACTTCCTTGATGGTTTTAGAACTTTCTCCATCCAGGTGTGTTGACTTTACTGGAATCTTGTCTACAGCAGAGGGACAAATGAACAATAAGGACTGATAAGTCAGGGCTGTCATATTCAGGCTGCCATATTTCAAAACTGCCACAAGATGGGAGTATTTTAAACCTTTACTCTGATTTTCTGATCATTCATCTTTGTGGGTCATAGGGTGATGGAGCCTCAGTATCCCAAAGCAGTGCACTGGAACTCAGAAAGGCAAACATCACTCTGTTTTTGCTGTTGTAAATTTGATTCACATGAGACGGCCAAAGGGAAATGGATATTAAAGCAAGGGAATTCATAACTGTTGGTTTGCGACTGTTTTGTGCAGTGTTTGAAAAGAAGCTTCTAGTGTAAAATGGAAAAATTGTTGGAAAGAAAAGCCAATATTTTGAACGAACGCATCCTCTCTCTTTTGTTTGTAAGGCTTTCAAAGTTGAAGTCTTTCCATGATTCACCATTGTCTTGACCTTTGGTTGCAGTGTAGGAATTCAGTGAAAATCCAGCTGCCAGTGGTACATGTTGTGGGCCGCTACTGTTAAACTTTCCACGTGTCTGTGGTCCCTCAGGCAAATAGCAGGTGCATTTTTCATTGTCCTGAAATAGAAGTTACAGTTATATAAATTCAAATTGCAAGAAACGCAGTATACCAAGGTAGAGAGGATTAAAGAGCTGGTGGGCAGTGGAGTTTGCATCCTAGCTAATGTGTGAAAGGGCCCATTTGCAAAGAAATCTAT